AATGGAGAGGTAGAGGGGTTTAACATTTAAGCCCTTGGGTCTCGACACAGACCTGGGTTCAAGTCCTTGCCCCTCACTTTACTGAGTCTCTCTCTCTGTTTGTACAGTAGGTATAATGAAACCTCAAAGGATGGTGCCTGGCATTTAGGAAGCGATCAATACCTGGAAGTTTTGTTATTGGGTGAGACACTAAAGGTTGGGTGTAGACTTGGTAATTATATCATTCCATTCATAAGATACAATTACTTCGAACCTGATGCTATGTCCTCCCCATCCACTTAGGCCAATTCAGTCAGAAAAGATCAGGGCTCCACAGTGAGAAGGAAATTGAGATGATCCTTGGAAATCAGAATCACTAAGAAGAGGTTAAAGTTTGGGTTTTAAAAACTGGCAAGCAAAATCCTACTTCCAGGATTTGTGCAACCAATAATAATCGTAATGGCTGCTTATCTTTTCCTATCTTTTTTGCAATCTCAGGCCACACTTTTTTTAGTGGTATTTCTATCTCACACACCTCCCATGTTTACAGACACTTTATAAACCACCCTCCATGGTGAGTACTCCTCTCAAATGAGATCTTCGGGAAATTTCACTAGTAAGAAATTAGGCTGCATTTGCTCTCTAGTCTGTCCATCTTCAGTGCCTTTGCATATCTGGTTCAAATGCACTGGAAACTGAGGAGCATGGCTAACGGTAGCTTCTTGTTTGATGGCTACAAGAAACTTTCCTTTAAGTGTAACTTTATAATGTTCAGCTCTAAACAGGGATTCTGGGGTGACTGAGTGTTTACCATACACAGATGCCACCGAGGGCAATTCACAGTTGGTGCATTTGAATGCTGCCCGAAAAGCGATGCCCAGGGGTACCAGATTTAGTAAATAACACACAGGACAACCAGTTAAGTCTGAATATCAGAAAAACAACAAGTGATTTTTCACTCTGAGTTCATCCTATGGACTATTTAGCAACCTCGGGACCTGAAGGGGAGCTGACTGAGCACTGGGTTCAGTATTTGAGGAGCTTTGTAGATCACCCAGAATGGTCCATAGAACTTGCTTGCGCAGGTCTACAGGATAATCACCTAAACAGAACCTCTCTACATGATAGATAGCCTGGCTGACATTTACCCAAGAGGCATCAAGACTGGCGCTGGTTGTTTGAACATTAAAATACATACTGGTTGGTAAACAGATGCTGCCCTCAATATCTCTAGTGTCTATCCTACACCAGCCCCACATCCTGCCATTTCCCCAAGGACATCCGGGACCTTACAATTCAGTGACTGAAAGACAAATGTCACAACATGGATGGCTCTTGAGGCATATGCCAGACTAAGAGAAATAAGTCAGACAGGGAAAGACAAATACTGTATGCTCTCACTTGTATGTGGAATCTTAAAAAATACACACATACATAAAAACCAAATCAATCAAACAAACAAAAACTAAGCTCACAGAAACAGAGAACAGATGGGTGGTCGCCAGAGGTGGGGGGACGGGGGACAGGGGAAATGGGTGAAGGCAGTCAAAAGATACAGACTTCTAGTTATGTGATTAGTAAGTTCTGAGGAGCTAATGCATAGCATGGTGACTACAGTTAATAATACTGTGTTGCATAGCTAGAAGTTGCTAGGAGAGTAGATCTTAAAAGTTCTCATCACAAGAACAGAATCTGGTAACTGAGGTGATGGATGTTAACTAAATTTACTGTGGTGATCATTTTGTAATACACACATATGTATATAAAGTCATTATGGTGGATACCTTAAGCTTATACAATGTTATATGTCAATTATACCTCAATAAACTGGGGGAGGGGGAACTGCACTGGAGAAGCAGAAAGAAATGGTGGGTACCTTCAAATAGAGTTAGGAGACTACAAATTTTGGTCTTGCTATCAGAGATGTGACATTATTTCTCACATTAGAACAAAGATTCACATTGGGAATATGGAAATGTTATTTGTTTCCTTTAAATAAATAATTTCCATTCCAAATATCATTGCTTCGGTTGATTTATGTTCCTATAATAGAATCAGGGAAACTAATATTGTAGCTAAAAGAAACTTTGTTTCATCTGTTCCTGGTCCTCCCCATTCTGTCAAAACACATTTGATAAAAACAAAACAACAAAAAAGAACCCACATACAACAAAACAAACAAATAAACAAACAGAAAACCTGAAGCCCAGGGAAGTTCAGCAATGCCCAGGGTGCCATAGCTAGTTAGTGAAGTGAGAGAGATCTTCAACTCCTGGTCTAGAGCAGAGGTGGGCCCACTGCCTGTTTCTGAATGGCCCGGAAGCTTAGAATAACCTTTATATTTTTCTTAATTTAAAAAAAAGATTGTTATTATAATAAATATTGATATTCTAAGTAAGATTTTCCATTTGGAAGGGTTCTAGTGACTTGGTGAAAGTTTATATCCTGTTAATCATCAGCACACCAGCTTACAAGGACATGTTTCTCCAGGGGGACTTTGAACACTCGGTCAGGGAGGTGTTTATGACTGATATTTTGATCGGCCTTAAAGCTTTGACAGGACTGCTCTGTTTTGCATTGCCACCATCAGAAAGTTCCTTTCCCAGCCTTTCCTGTAGATGTGCTGCCACTCATTAATATGCAGGGTGATAGCTAAACATTTAATAATCAGTGGGAGTCTGGCATCCACCAATCAAAATGGTAACTGGAAGGAGGGCTGGTGCTACTATGAAGGGCCTTTCTTTAGCTTTTGTTTTTTCTTTTTTTTTCTATAAAGACCAGAGAGGGAATAAGAGTCAAATGATACTGAGGGGAAAGGGTTTGGGGGTGAGGAGCCTTAGGGCCCAAAGTGTAAATAAAAAAGCTAATGTAGAAAATAATCTTAAAAAATTATCCTAATTTTTTAAAGTTATAATTAATAGTAGACTAAGAAACATATAAAAATGTTTTATTATCTATACTTATAATAGGGTAATATGCAAATTGGTCACCCATCAGCAGGAGGGTGGGGCGGTCAGCAGAGGCAAGCTGCAGCGAGCTACTAGCCCTGCATAAACGGGGGAGAGCTATGAGCGGGGAGAGCTACAAGTGGGGGAGAGCTATGAGCGGCAGTGGGCGGGGAAGCCAGCTGAGGCAAGCAGCAGCGAGATACTCGCACATGGATTTGTGCACAGGGCCAGTAGTAATGTATATAACATATAAATTATGTTTTATATATACATATTATTGCCATTAAAGGCTAGTTCAGGAAATAGATCTTATTAATGCAATGATATGTATCAAAAGCCTAAAAATACTTGGAAGAGAAAGGGCATAGGAGAAATTATATGTGTGACAGTGGTATTTACTTCCAAATTGTAGTATACTATTCCAAAATTGGAAACAACTTCAACATCCAATAATAGAGAATAATTAAATAAATTTTGGGATATGTTATAGTGGGACAGTATACAGTCACTTAAGATACATCTAGAAAGAACCTGAAACAACATGGGTAAGCAATGTAAAAGTGATTGATAGAAAAAGAAAGAAAGAAGGATATAAAATCTATGTTTATATGTCAAAAAATCCCCCACTGAAAATAAGTAATATATAGTAAAAAGCACAAAAAATTATCAAATTTAACACTATCCTTGACTACTGAGATTACAGATTATTTCTTTTCTTTCCATTTAAATACATATTTCAAGTTTTCTAAAAGGGTTGGGTATGACTCTTAAAACTAAAAATAAACTAAGTAAAATTAAGAAATAATTTAATTCACAGGGGAGAAGATAAACCTGTTTAGCCAGTGCCTAAAAAAGCACATAAACACAGAATTTTTTTAAAACACAAAAGAAAAAGTAAGTCTTTCAAAATCTGTTTCTGAACTTCCATGTTCTAGGCCTTGTGCAGCAGCAAGCTGAACTGAGAGTAATCTGACCAATAGATGTCACTGTTCCACTTCTTACTTGGAGCACGTCTCAAGCTGCACAATTTTACTCTTTCAGAGGGAAAAACAAAACTGCAAATTTCCATGTCATCTCATGAAGGGTTGTAGATTTTCCATCTTTCAGTTCCATTCCAAACCTCCTTTTACAATAACTGGGATGTCAAATGCTTTTCTAAAAAAACATACTGTGACTATGGTTTTATAGTTACGAAAAATACAAGGTTCTGTTGGTGGTTGCGTGAGAAAATCGTCACCCATATGAACATCACAGACCTAACCCACACTCGTCAAACACATACTTCCAGGCCTGAAAGTAATGAATTGGGAAGTATTCAAGATTGTCAATAGGCATGATAATTAATGGGGGGAAATAAGTGCTTTCTGGATTCCTAATGCTCACCCCCATCTCTGACAGGAAACTGGGAGGTGAAGGGGGTGAAGAAGGGTGGTGAAAATGGGGGCAGGTGGTCAATCCTATCAGGCCACCTACAATGTGGAAGTAGCTAAAACTCAGCCCCCCGCTTTGTATAGGGTCTTCAATGCTTCTGTGTCAATGATACAAGAATGACTGCGAAAGAAGAAGGCTGTGTTTTTAAAATGGGTCATCTTGTATTCTGTAGATTTCCTGCCAACCTGATCACCTGTTATTTGGGCAGCCGAAGAGAAAAAAAAAAAGGTTTAGGAATGTGCAAGCAAGACAGGCTATTTGGGTTTCACTGGAAAATCCAGAGCCTATCAGTCAGCTAACATATTTCCTTACCTTTTAAGAAAAAATGATATTAAGAGATGAACAGCATCAAATGATCATTCCCAAAATGGGGTTTAGGCAGCTAAGCTGATGTGAACAGAGGACTCTGAAAAGCTCAGATAAAGTGTAAACACAGTCACTTTCTAGCACATAAATTTCAATCACAAAGATCTGTTTTCTGCCACCAGTTGATTTTTAGACAATGACCCTCCCCCACACATATCACACACACACACAGTGAAGCTTCAGCAGCTTTATGAACATGATTTACATCAAATGCATATTAAATGAACCTATGCTGACTGCAAAGAATCACAGCACAAACACAATATTTCTACTTACATGGAGATCCAAGTGCAATTCACTTCTGTTTGTCTTCTCTCTTTCCTCGAGGAGCAGAAAGGGACAGGCTGGTCCAGCTCTATGGCCCAGGACCCACGCACCTCCATCCCTGATGGGAAGGTCCTTAGAGGCTGACTGCTCATTGAAGCAGTCCCGGGGAAAGCTCTCGGAGGAGATGCCTAGACAAACACAGAGAAGGTTTTCAGTGACAGTGGCCAGAAAAACATCAAGCCACCCTATCTGGGGACTCATGTGGGCCATTTCACACTACCTTCCTTTTTGTAAGGTTTAGAGTTTCCTTTCCTCCAAAAGTGCTTTTCTTAATTACTCTTCTGAATCACACTAACAAAGAATTAAAACATGTGCCCTCATACCACCTGCTTAAAAAAAAAAATAAGCCTAATCAGCTCATCTCTGGGCTCCCTATTCTTGCTTACTAATCTTGCTATGCATACCATTCTCATTCAGGACAGAATCGGGGAATGAGCTGGAGGACAGAAGCCAGAAGGCTGGGTTGTTGGCTTTACTACTAAAAGCTGTCACCTGAGCCAAGTCACTAGTGTGTGTGTCTTCTAGGTTAGGAACTACACGGGGTTCATGTTCATTGTGGGGGGTGGAATCATCATGAGTGGTGCACACTGGCGGCTGGTCAGCGTGCTGAATGCGTGAGGCTGCCTGCGTGGATTATGTAGAACTCCCTTTTCTCATCCCCAGACTGAGGATGTTCTGCTAGTTCTTATCTACATGTTAGGATGAGAATAGGCAGGTCTGTGCCAGGCACTGTTCTCAGCCCTGTTCTTTGATTTTTTAAAAGGACCCTATTGGCAGGTATCATTAGTGTTCCAGTTTTAGAAGAAGAAACTGGATCACAAAGATCATACAGTCAGTAAATGGTAAAGCCAGGAATTGAACCCAGGCAGTTAAACGCTAGAGGCCATGCTCTCAAAGACCAGACTATATGGCCTCTGCCTGGCATTCTTGTGATGACAATGTGTGTTCTGTCACCAAAGGACTTTGTGGTCAAATAAGTGTGAGAAAAGTGGCATGTCTTATCTTTTGGAGCTACGATTCATGTTAGCATATTACAGGCCTTGAGTGTCCTTTAGTAAACAAATTTAGCTCTGTAGAATAGTATTTTCCACACTTATTTGACCACAGAATCCATTTAAAGGGGCACCTGATAACCTTGTTGAAAGCCACTAGTGTTCCAATGGAACATAGTTTGGAAAACACTAGGTTAGATCACCTCTAAAGTCCCATCTGACTCTCAAGTTCCTGGTCCTCTTTTAATTCCTGGTAAGCAACCCTGGCAAAATATTATGCAACCAGACAGAAGTTAAGGGTTTAGGCTCAGTGTACTTTCGCAATAGAGATCACCGTTGGATATATGATAGGTTGTTTATTACACATAATCCTTGTAAGAGCGTCTCTTTGGCAGTGACCCAAAGCCAGCCAATGACTTCCGCCATGCTGCCAACCTGACTTACCAGTGACCTGAGCTGAGAGTAAGCCAGCTAACAGAGGGATCATGGGATAAAATGCTTCTCCTTTCTATGAGAGTAGCATTTTAGAAGAAACGCTATTTAAAAATGGCCAAGGTTTTGCTTGTTGTTTGCTTGTCCAGTCAGCTGATTTCCAAACACCTCAGAGTGAAAGGTGAGGCAGGTCCCAGCGTCTCTACAGTTGCCCTCTGGCGGGCTGCCCATAGAATACTCTGTGGAGACTGAGGACGTGAGAGTCCAGGGCCTCAGGTGTTTACTCTGCTGACATAGCATGTCCAGATTATTATAACTAAGCTCTTCCTTTCCCTGAGCCAGATGTCTTAGAATGAGAGCCGTTTCAGTCACCTGGCCTCACCCTCTCCACATGCCCCTTGTTACCTACACTCTCCAGAGCATTTGCTTTGGCCCTCCTGTTAGTGCCCCCACTCTGGCTCTAAGAAGAGGCACTCTGCTAAGTACCTTCACTTTATCTTCACGGTGACACTGAGAGGAAGGGTGCTGGCCATGCTTTCATAGATGAAGAGATTCAAGTCCAGAGCCTTTTTAGCTGCCATTATATGGCTCATCTCTCTCCCAGAATATTTCTACTCATATTGGGCAAGAAACGAGAAAATCGACCTTTTTAAATTTATGGTATACTCTCACCATGCTACATTATCTTCAGAAATGCACTAATTACTAGCCCTGTTTTTCATTTTATGGCCTTCTACTTTTCAGTTTTATTTTGGAATAGCTGCTGGCTTTGAGTAAAGTTTATACTGGTTAATAAAACGACATAAAGCATAATATATACATCACAGAGAACATAATATACAACACCTAAGGTAAGACATCCAGATCATCAAAGGCACATTGTCTGGTGAGCAGAAGTTCATCATTTGGGTTTAAGAGAGTGGTGAATTCCCACAATAACTAGGATCTGTGTCCTTAGAGAAAATGCATATGCACACACAAACTCCCTTGTACACTCTGCGGTGCTATCCGACACAGCATTCGTGAGGTGTGGAGTGCAACCCAATCCACTCCTGTGCAGAGGAAAGACAGCACGCAGTTTAGGTAGAAACAATAAAAAGGAACTTTGTTTTGGAAATAGCTTTAATTTTAAAGAGCCAATTTCTCATACCTTGTGTTTAACCAGACAAAATCCCTATGAAGGAAACATGCAAGGTAAAAATCATGGCGCATAGTAATTTTGGTGAGGATCAATTTGACAGCAAAGGACCAAGGGCAGAAGTAAGTAACATTAAAACATTATTCTTAAACATCTGACAATGTAGGTTAGGACATGGGACAAATTCACCATCAGAAAGCACATAAACTTATAAAGTAATAAGTCTTTTAATGGAAATTTTAATAATACCAACGCAAGTTTTTGAAGTTAGAAATAAAGCACATGTCTATATTTATTAAAATGGGTAGTAGCCACACTACTCTCTTCAACTGAATAAATTTAATAAAGAGAAGGAAAACTTACCTAAAATTAGGTAAGTATGTTCTGTCAAAAGCCAAGTGTCATTTAATTTTCTGATACAGATTTTGAGGTATTTGATTTTCACTGAACATTTTGTAAAAAGCTTTAAAGTTTAATCAACCTAATCATATACCTTTCCCTATCATGTGCATATTGTAAATTTGTTTTTTACTCAGTGTTTATTGCTTATTTTGCTTCTCAAAGACATTCCAACAGCTGGATGGACCACACATACACACACAGGTTAATTCTACAGCTGACCACTATTAATAACAACACATAGCACAGTCACAGTACAGTAAGGGCGACTTACCTTGGGACCACCTGGAAAGTCTGTGCTTGTCTCAACCATTCAAATGATGAGCTGCACTTGCTGATGCTAACCTACAACATCAGACTGGGGTTTTGCTGTCAATTATCAATGTAATGGAAGCAGAAAGACAGGAAAGGTAATATGCCATTTACAACTGTAAGCAGTATCCATAGCTTATCTTTCCAAACTAGAATGTCTCTCTACCTATGGTACGTTGGAGTATTGTTACCACTTCTTTACTCACTCCCCGTATGATTATTAAGCACCCAAGGCCTTGCCGGTTGTCTTGGCAGTTCCTCCCATTGGCCCATGGATTTTGGATCTGGCCTCATGACCTATTTTGGCCAACTGAATGTCGGCAATGTGACACTGTGCCAATTCTGAAGCAAGCCTTACCAGTAAGAAGCACCGTGTGTTTTTACACCCTGCTTTGTGTTTATGCCATCATTATTTGACAAGCCCATCATAGGGAGCCTGGATTAGACACACAGAGCAGACCCATGCACAGTCTTACTGCCTGGAGCCAATCTTGCTGAACCTGGCTCAAATCAAATGAACCTTAGTCAACTCCTAAGCCAATGAATGGGAACAATAAATATTTGCTGTGAGCCATTGAGATTTGGGGTTCATTGTTGAAATAGCTGCCTGATATACTCTCTATCATCTGCCTCCACCAAAAGCACTACACTTTAAACCATTTCAGCTAATCAGGCTTAAAGATTACGATAATCTAATATGTACTAAAAACCATTATTCAATGTATCATGTTTTTTTTAAAAAAATCAAGTATGCCCATACTCATAGTATGCCCATTATCTCATTCATACCAAGATTCACACACAAACTGCATTTCAGTTTAAAAAGCTAAACTTGCCCAGCCGGGTGTAGCTCAGCAGTTGAGCATCGACCCAGGAACCGAGAGATCACTGGTCCAATTCCCAGTCAGGGCATATGCCCAGGTTGCAGGCTCGATCCCCAATGGGGGGGGAGCAAGAGGC